AAGAGAGATTTTAAGAGATTCACTTACTGGCAGCTTCTTGCCCCTTCCCTGATGTAGAACTTCCTGACATTACTATACCTGGAGTATACTCCAGGTATACTCCAGGTGTAGTGATGTTGCGGCTTCTGTCACTACAACATTCATTCAGGTGATGTAGCGGCTTCTGTCATCACTACAACATCCGTTCAGCTGAAATAATAGTTCCTAACATCCCTTCATGTGATGTAGCGGCTCCTGTAATTACTAGAGCTTCTCTTCAGCTGAATTAATGGTTCTTAACCTCATTACAACACTTCAGCTGAAATAATAGTTCCTAGCATCACTACACATCCCTTCAGCTTAAGTAATACTTCCTAACATCCCCACAACATCTCCTGAGTGAGGACAAGGTAGGCCAATTATATTTTTCGACTGGTCAGGTAGGTGAACAAGTTGGTACCCAGAGTAGCCTTACGGAACCCATCGGACACAAATGTCTGTTACAATGATGTGTCTGGGACACAGTGCTGTGCCACAGACATATGAGTCACCCCTCACAGCCTTGTAACCACAACGACTACACGGCACTGCGTAACAGCCACGACAAGTGCATAAGAAGGCTGTCTCAAGAAAATATCCTCATACTCTGAATTAAGAGAGACTGACTTAAATTGCTGACTGGAAACTTATAAGTATGACGGAGGTAAGAGAGAGGGAGAGGTGTGATCGTGGTGTAATAGCAGACAAAATGCGCATTAAAGGAATAACTGGAAAAGTAAACAGAAGGATCTTTAACTTTCTAACAAACAGAACGCAAATGGTAATGTTAAACAGGAGGATCAAGTCTTCAACACTACTAGCACTGAACAACACACAGTGACTGAGGATCAAGCCTGCAACACTACTAGCACTGAACAACACAGCGACGGAGGATCAAGTCTTCAACACTACAAGCACTGAACAATACACAGTGACTGAGGATCAAGCCTGCAACACTGGACAACCACTGAAGTAGTATCCCCGCCACTGTGACAGAACACTGTGCAATGCTCCGAGAAATGGGGCTGTGTGTGGGTGGAAAAAGTGGACTAGCACCCATAACCTGCCATTTTTACCCATAAATAATGCTGGTGTCTCTCTCTCCTATAAAATGACGCCTGGCGGACCCCATAAAGATGGTCTTCAAGGAGAAAAATTATAGGCAGGACCGTCTCCTAAAACAGAATTATACTTTCTTCGCTGTGATTATATTCTGCTACGACACTCGTCTATAATTCTATTATTGAAGGTGTTTCAAAACCATGGAGTCACTTTCATCTGAATAAAGATTCCCACATGCTGCATGTCTCAATCTTCAACTTGTAGATTTTTCAAACCATTTATCACACACACACACACACATGTATATATATATATATATATATATATATATATATATATATATATATATATATATATATATATATATATATTATATATATATATATATATATATATGTATATATATATATATGTATATATATATATATATATATATATATATATATATATATATAATATATATATATATATATATATATATTATATATATATATATATATATATATCGTACCGAATAGGCAGAACTTGCGATCTTGGCTTAAATAGCAACGCTCATCTTGCCATATAGGACAAGTGAAAATTTGTTTATGCAATAATTTTGCCAAAATCATTCTGAACCTAACGAAAAAAATATATTTCACTGTGTTTGTTTAGTATTAAATTATTGTAAACAAATGTTAAATATATTTAGTTGGGTTTGGCTAAAATAAATTGCTCTTGTTATAATAAGGTTAGGTATGTTTTCTAAGTTCCTTTTGGTGCAAAATTATTAATTTTTACATCAACATTAATGAAAAAATATATCTTTAAACGTACAAGAGAAAATTTTAGAAAGGACTTAATTTTAAATGAGTTCTTGCTAATTGACCAGTTTTACATATTCGGCACGACATATATATATATATATATATATATATATATATATATATATATATTATATATATATATATATATATATATATATATATATATATATATGTATATATATATTATTTTTATTATTATCACAATGGCTTTACACTACAGTTTTTAAACTGCAACATTAACACCCCTCCTTCAGAGTACAGGCACTGTACTTCCCATCTCCAGGACTCAAGTCCGGCCTGCCTGAACCCCTTCATAAATGTTACTTTGCTCACACTCCAGCAGCACGTCAAGTATTAAAAACCATTTGTCTCCATTCACTCCTATCAAACACGCTCACGCATGCCTGCTGGAAGTCCAAGCCCCTCGCGCACAAAACCTCCTTTACCCTCTCCCTCCAACCTTTCCTAGGCCGACCCCTACCCCGCCTTCCTTCCACTACAGACTGATACACTCTTGAAGTCACTCTGTTTCACTCCATTCTCTCTACATGTCCGAACCACCTCAACAATCCTTCCTCAGCCCTCTGGACAACAGTTTTGGTAATCCCGCACCTCCTCCTAACTTCCAAACTACGAATTCTCTGCATTATATTCACACCACACATTGCCCTCAGACATGACATCTCCACTGCCTCCAGCCTTCTCCTCGCTCCAACATTCACCATCCATGCTTCACACCCATATAAGAGCGTTGGTAAAACTATACTCTCATACATTCCCCTCTTTGCCTCCAAGGACAAAGCTCTTTGTCTCCACAGACTCCTAAGTGCACCACTCACCCTTTTCCCCTCATCAATTCTATGATTCACCTCATCTTTCATAGACCCATCCGCTGACACGTGCGCTCCCAAATATCTGAATTATTCACCTCCTCCATACTCTCTCCCTCCAATCTGATATCCAATCTTTCATCACCTAATCGTTTTGTTATTCTCATAACCTTACTCTTTCCTGTATTCACTTTTAATTTTCTTCTTTTGCACACCCTACCAAATTCATCCACCAATCTCTGCAACTTCTTTTCAAAATCTCCCAAGAGCACAGTGTCATCAGCAAAGAGCAACTGTGACAACTCCCACTTTATATGTGATTCTTTATCTTTTAACTCCACGTCTCTTGCAAAGACCCTCGCATTTACTTCTCTTACAACCCCATCTATAAATATATTAGACAACCACGGTGACATCACACATCCTTGTCTAAGGCCTACTTTTACTGGGAAATAATTTCCCTCTTTCCTACATACTCTAACTTGAGCCTCACTATCCTCGTAAAAACTCTTCACTGCTTTCAGTAACCTACCTCCTACACCATACACCTGCAACATCTGCCACATTGCCCCCCTATCCACCCTGTCATACGCCTTTTCCAAATCCATAAATGCCACAAAGACCTCTTTAGCCTTATCTAAATACTGTTCACTTACATGTTTCACTGTAAACACCTGGTCCACACACCCCCTACCTTTCCTATAGCCTCCTTGTTCATCTGCTATCCTATTCTTCGTCTTACTCTTAATTCTTTCAATAATAACTCTACCATACACTTTACCTGGTATACTCAACAGACTTATCCACCTATAATTTTTGCACTCTCTTTTATCCCCTTTGCCTTTATACAAAGGAACTATGCATGCTCTCTGCCAATCCCTAGGTACCTTACCCTCTTCCATACATTTATTAAATAATTGCACCAACCACTCCAAAACTATATCACCACCTGCTTTTAACATTTCTATCTTTATCCCATCAATCCCGGCTGCCTTACCCCCTTTCATTTTACCTACTGCCTCACGAACTTTCCCCACACTCACAACTGGCTCTTCCTCACTCCTACAAGATGTTATTCCTCCTTGCCCTATACACGAAATCACAGCTTCCCTATCTTCATCAACATTTAACAATTCCTCAAAATATTTCCTCCATCTTCCCAATACCTCTAACTCTCCATTTAATAACTCTCCTCTCCTATTTTTAACTGACAAATCCATTTGTTCTCTAGGCTTTCTTAACTTGTTAATCTCACTCCAAAACTTTTTTCTTATTTTCAACAAAATTTGTTGATAACATCTCACCCACTCTCTCATTTGCTCTCTTTTTACATTGCTTCACCACTCTCTTAACCTCTCTCTTATATATTCATATATATAAATATATAAGGTCCCTCCCTCTCTCCCCTCCCTCACCTCCTTCCCTATCTTCCCACTCCCACTCCACTTTCTAATGGACACTCACGTACACGATCCCTGCAAAACAATACTCGGTGAGTATACACACACACACATACTGGAGTATGCAGTACCAGCTTGGAACCCACACCTGGTCAAGCACGTTAAGAAATTAGAGAAAGTGCAAAAGTTTGCAAGAAGACTAATCCCAGAGCAAAGGGGAATGTCCTACGAAGAAACGTTAAGGGAAATCGGCCTGACGACACTGGAGGACAGGAAGGGTTAGGGGAGACATGATAGCGACATACAAAATACAGCGAGGAATTGACAAGGTGGACAAAGACAGAATGTTCCAGAGATGGGACACAGAAATAAGGGGTCACAATTGGAAGTTAAAGAGTCAGATGAGTCATATAGTTGTCAGGAAGTGGAATAGCCTGGCAAGTGACGTAGTGGAGGCAGGAACCATACATAGTTTTAAGACGAGGTTGGATAAAGCTCATGGAGCAGGGAGAGAGTTGACCTAGTAGCAACCAGTAAAGAGGCTGGGCCAGGAGCTTTGAATCAACCCTTACAACCACAATTAGGTGAGCACACACACACACACACACATCATACTGTTGAACTCTTACTGTTACACATTTTTAAATAGATCTCTACTTACTGTTATTGATTACCGTTAAGACACTACTGTTAGGTAATTACTTACTGTTTGGCCACTAATGCCTAACTACTGTTAATTTACTACTTGTAGGTAGACACTGTTAAGAGGTTCCTGTTAGTAGGTTCCCGTTAGCAGTTTCCTGTTAGTAGATTCTTGTTAATAGGTTCATGTTAGCAGGTTGCTGTTAGTAGGTTCCTGTTAGTACTTACTGTTGAGTACTTACTGTTAATGACGTGTAGGGTGATGGAGTGAGCGGGTGCGGTGGCGGGAGAACAGGTGTAGCGGCCAGAGTTCTGTGCTCCAGCGTGGTGGATCAAGAGCCTGGAGGCCGTGTCTTTCCCGTCCTCTGTCGTCACGGTCACTTCTCCCCGTCCAGAGTCGTAACTCAACAACTGCGTGAAGGAGGAAGTGAGAGAGAGAGAGAGAGAGAGAGAGAGAGAGAGAGAGAGAGAGAGAGAGAGAGAGAGGAGAGAGAGAGAGAGAGGAGAGAGAGAGAGAGAAGAGAGAGAGAGAGAGATAGAGAGAGAGAAAGAGAGAAGAGAGAGAGAGAGAGAGAGAGTCATCTATGATTTTAAACAGTCGACCTGCCTGGCCTTTTCAGCTATTAATCTGGGCCATCAATGCGATAATTGTGTGTGTGTGTGTGTGTGTGTGTGTGTGTGTGTGTGTGTGTGTGTACTCACCTATTTGTGGTTGCAGGGGTCGAGTCTTAGCTCCTGGCCCCGAATCACTAATTACCTACCGATGATTACTCTGTAGAGGTAGTTAGCGTGATTCTGTACCACAAGTGCTATTGTCGTGTGTGTGTGTGGTGTGTGTGTGTGTGTGTGTGTGTGTGTGTGTGTGTGTGTGTGTGTGTGTGTGTGTGTGTGTGTGTGTGTGTGTGTGTGTAGTGTGTGTGTGTGTGTGTGTGTGTGTGTGTGTGTATGTGTGTGTGTGTGTGTGTGTGTGTGTGTGTGTGTGTGTGTGTGCGCGCGTGTGTGTGGAAGGTAGTTTTTTGTCGTGTCCATGTTCGCACACACACACACACACACACACACACACACACACACCACACACACACACACACACACACACACACACACACACACACACACATACACACACACACACACACACACACATACACAACACACACACACACACACACACACACACACACACACACACACACACATACACACACACACACACACACACACCACACACCACACACACACAGACACGCACACACACACACACACACACACACACACACACACACACACACACACACACACACACACACACACACACACACACACACACAACACACACACACACACATACACACACACACACACACACACACATACACACACACACACACACACACACAACACACACACACACACACACACACACACACACACACACACACACACACACACACACTTTATGGTTCTTATCTTATCTTTATCGCTCTGATCTTTACTGCTTATGTCTTTATCTCAACAAAAGATAATGTTATCTTAGTATCTTTCTTTACCTTACTTGATAGATGATAAAGCTATTGTCGAAGATAGATAGCTGTCGAAGATAGATAATGTAAAATATTGGTAGTGTAAAGGATAGATAGTGTAATAGATAGCGTAAAAATAACGTAAAAAATAGATAGTATAAAAGATAGATAATTCAAAATATTGTGTAAAAGATAGATAGTATAAAAGATAGTATAAAAGATAGATAGTGTACAAGATAGTAAAAGAGATACATAAAGATAGATAGAGTAAAAGACAGTGTGTTTAAAAGATAGATTGTGTAAAAGATAGATAGTTTAAAAGATAGAGAATGTAAAAAAATAGATTGTTTAAATGTGTAATAGATATTGTAAAAAGAAGAAAGATAGTAAAAGATTGACAAATATGGTGAAATATATATAGTAAGAGAATAACGAAACCTTTTAACAGGAGAAACTACTGTTAACGGTAGAACAAACTACTGTTAACGGTAGAACAAACTACTGTTAACGGTAGAACAAACTACTGTTAACGGTTTTGAACACAAACTACTGTTAACGAGTAGAACAAAACTACTGTTAACGGTAGAACAAACTACTGTTAACGGTAGAACAAACTACTGTTAACGGTAGAACAAACTACTGTTAACGGTAGAACAAACTACTGTTAACGGTAGAACAAACTACTGTTAACGGTTGAACAAACTACTGTTAACGGTAAAACAAACTGCTGTTAACGGTAGAAGAACCTCTCTTCAGTAGAACAAATCTCTATAAAAATAAGAATAAAAAAAAGAAACAGCGTTCAACAGAAGAAATCCCTTTCAACAGAAGAGTAAACTCAACAGACGGAGGAATCCCTTTCCACAGGATCACAATTACAGGAACTGGAATATCTCTATAGAAAAGGTTTTACCCATTCATAAGGCTTTATCCAGAGGTGAAAATAAAGCCTACTGAAGGGGCAAAACGTCACCTATATAAAGTTAAAAAGGATCCCCTAAGAGGATTGAAATATATAGGTTAAGTAATCTTCTGTTTCTGTCTTTTGCAGATTCCCACCGAGAAAGAAAAAATACTTTGATCATCATTCAGTCCACACTACGTGTGGGTTATTACTAATTATTGACAATTATTCATTACACTTTAGTTATTCATCAAGCTAAAATCTATAGGTATCCCATATCCCTGAAAATCTCGCTGTTATACCCGCATATCTCCTGAGGTATACTCACTACATCATCGTGGTACCAGAAGATATACGGAGGTGGCTTTGGGCTGTGTCTCACCAGGCAGGTGAGGTTGATAGCAGAGCCTGCGTTGATATACAGCTCTGGGCCCCCTAGCACCACTGTCTGTGGCTCTGTAGGGGAGAGAGTAACACTTTTTTAAGGAGTAATTAGGTGAAGGGTGAGGCAACTATGCAATGATAATCAGGTGATTGCGACTTATCACTAATTACCTACCGATGATTACTCTGTAGAGGTAGTTAGCGTGATTCTGTACCACAAGTGCAGTGATTCTGTACCACAAGTGCAGTGATTCTGTACCACAAGTGCAGTGATTCTGTACCACAAGTGAAGTGATTCTGTACCACAAGTGCAGTGATTCTGTACCACAAGTGCAGTGATTCTGTACCACAAGTGCAGTGATTCTGTACCACAAGTGCAGTGATTCTGTACCACAAGTGCAGTGATTCTGTACCACAAGTGCAGTGATTCTGTACCACAAGTGCAGTGATTCTGTACCACAAGTGCAGTGATTCTGTACCACAAGTGCAGTGATTCTGTACCACAAGTGAAGTAATTCTGTACCACAAGTGCAGTGATTCTGTACCACAAGTGCAGTGATTCTGTACCACAAGTGAAGTGATTCTGTACCAAAAGTGCAGTGATTCTGTACCACAAGTGCAGTGACTCTGTACCACAAGTGCAGTGATTCTGTACCACAAGTGCAGTGATTCTGTACCACAAGTGCAGTGATTCTGTACCACAAGTGAAGTGATTCTGTACCACAAGTGCAGTGATTCTGTACCACAAGTGAAGTGATTCTGTACCAAAAGTGCAGTGATTCTGTACCAAAAGTGCAGTGACTCTGTACCACAAGTGAAGTGATTCTGTACCACAAGTGCAGTGATTCTGTACCACAAGTGCAGTGATTCTGTACCACAAGTGCAGTGATTCTGTACCACAAGTGCAGTGATTCTGTACCACAAGTGCAGTGATTCTGTACCACAAGTGCAGTGACTCTGTACCAAAAGTGAAGTGATTCTGTACCACAAGTGCAGTGATTCTGTACCACAAGTGAAGTGATTCTGTACCAAAAGTGCAGTGATTCTGTACCACAAGTGCAGTGACTCTGTACCACAAGTGCAGTGATTCTGTACCACAAGTGCAGTGATTCTGTACCACAAGTGCAGTGATTCTGTACCACAAGTGAAGTGATTCTGTACCACAAGTGCAGTGATTCTGTACCACAAGTGAAGTGATTCTGTACCAAAAGTGCAGTGATTCTGTACCACAAGTGCAGTGACTCTGTACCACAGTGAAGTGATTCTGTACCACAAGTGCAGTGATTCTGTACCACAAGTGCAGTGATTCTGTACCACAAGTGCAGTGATTCTGTACCACAAGTGCAGTGATTCTGTACCACAAGTGCAGTGACTCTGTACCACAAGTGAAGTGATTCTGTACCACAAGTGCAGTGATTCTGTACCACAAGTGCAGTGATTCTGTACCACAAGTGCAGTGATTCTGTACCACAAGTGAAGTGATTCTGTACAACAAGTGCAGTGATTCTGTACCACAAGTGAAGTGATTCTGTACCAAAAGTGCAGTGATTCTGTACCGCAAGTGTAGTGATTGTGATCAGTCACAGAATTCTAGATAAGCTGACCGGTAATACAATTCTAGATAAGCTGACAGTTAATACAATTCTAGATAAGCTGACCGGTAATACAATTCTAGATAAGCTGACCAGTAATACAATTCTAGATAAGCTGACAGTTAATACAATTCTAGATAAGCTGACCGGTAATACAATTCTAGATAAGCTGACCAGTAATACAATTCTAGATAAGCTGACCGGTAATACAATTCTAGATAAGCTGACAGGTAATACAATTCTAGATAAGCTGACCGGTAATACAATTCTAGATAAGCTGACCGGTAATACAATTCTAGATAAGCTGACAGTTAATACAATTCTAGATAAGCTGACCGGTAATACAATTCTAGATAAGCTGACCAGTAATACAATTCTAGATAAGCTGACAGTTAATACAATTCTAGATAAGCTGACCGGTAATACAATTCTAGATAAGCTGACCAGTAATACAATTCTAGATAAGCTGACCGGTAATACAATTCTAGATAAGCTGACAGGTAATACAATTCTAGATAAGCTGACCGGTAATACAATTCTAGATAAGCTGACCGGTAATACAATTCTAGATAAGCTGACCAGTAATACAATTCTAGATAAGCTGACCAGTAATACAATTCTAGATAAGCTGACAGGTAATACAATTCTAGATAAGCTGACCAGTAATACAATTCTAGATAAGCTGACCAGTAATACAATTCTAGATAAGCTGACCAGTAATACAGTTCTAGATAAGCTGACCAGTAATACAATTCTAGATAAGCTGACCAGAAATACAATTCTAGATAAGCTGACCAGTAATACAATTCTAGATAAGATGACCGGTAATACAATTCTAGAAAAGCTGACAGGTAATACAATACTAGATAAGCTGACCGGTAATACAATTCTAGATAAGCTGACCGGTAATACAATTCTAGATAAGCTGACCAGTAATACAATTCTAGATAAGCTGACCAGTAATACAATTCTAGATAAGCTGACCAGTAATACAATTCTAGATAAGCTGACCGGTAATACAATTCTAGATAAGATGACCGGTAATACAATTCTAGAAAAGCTGACAGGTAATACAATACTAGATAAGCTGACCAGTAATACAATACTAGAAAAGCTGACCGGTAATACAATTCTAGATAAGCTGACCGGTAATACAATTCTAGATAAGCTGACCGGTAATACAATTCTAGATAAGCTGAAGGGTAATACAATTCTAGATAAGCTGACCAGTAATACAATTCTAGATAAGCTGACCGGTAATACAATTCTAGATAAGCTGACCGGTAATACAATTCTAGATAAGCTGACCGGTAATACAATTCTAGATAAGCTGACAGGTAATACAATTCTAGATAAGCTGACCAGTAATACAATTCTAGATAAGCTGACAGGTAATACAATTCTAGATAAGCTGACCAGTAATACAATTCTAGATAAGCTGACCGGTAATACAATTCTAGATAAGCTGACCGGTAATACAATTCTAGATAAGCTGACCGGTAATACAATTCTAGATAAGCTGACCAGTAATACAATTCTAGATAAGCTGACCAGTAAGACAATTCTAGATAAGCTGACCGGTAATACAATTCTAGATAAGCTGACCGGTAATACAATTCTAGATAAGCTGAACGGTAATACAATTCTAGATAAGCTGACCAGTAATACAATTCTAGATAAGCTGACCAGTAATACAATTCTAGATAAGCTGACCGGTAATACAATTCTAGATAAGCTGACCAGTAATACAATTCTAGATAAGCTGACCAGTAATACAATTCTAGATAAGCTGACCAGTAATACAATTCTAGATAAGCTGACAGGTAATACAATTCTAGATAAGCTGACCAGTAATACAATTCTAGATAAGCTGACCGGTAATACAATTCTAGATAAGCTGACCGGTAATACAATTCTAGATAAGCTGACCAGTAATACAATTCTATATAAGCTGACCGGTAATACAATTCTAGATAAGCTGACCGGTAATACAATTCTAGATAAGCTGACCAGTAATACAATTCTAGATAAGCTGACAGTTAATACAATTCTAGATAAGCTGACAGGTAATACAATTCTAGATAAGCTGACAGGTAATACAATTCTAGATAAGCTGACCAGTAATACAATTCTAGATAAGCTGACCGGTAATACAATTCTAGATAAGCTGACAGGTAATACAATTCTAGATAAGCTGACCAGTAATACAATTCTAGATAAGCTGACCAGTAATACAATTCTAGATAAGCTGACAGGTAATACAATTCTAGATAAGCTGACCAGTAATACAATTCTAGATAAGCTGACCAGTAATATAATTCTAGATAAGCTGACCGGTAATACAATTCTAGATAAGCTGACCGGTAATACAATTCTAGATAAGCTGACCAGTAATACAATTCTAGATAAACTGACAGGTAATACAATTCTAGATAAGCTGACAGGTAATACAATTCTAGATAAGCTGACAGGTAATACAATTCTAGAAAAGCTGACCAGTAATACAATTCTAGATAAGCTGACCGGTAATACAATTCTAGATAAGCTGACAGGTAATACAATTCTAGATAAGCTGACCAGTAATACAATTCTAGATAAGCTGACCGGTAATACAATTCTAGATAAGCTGACAGGTAATACAATTCTAGATAAGCTGACCAGTTATACAATTCTAGATAAGCTGACCAGTAATACAATTCTAGATAAGCTGACCGGTAATACAATTCTAGATAAGCTGACCAGTAATACAATTCTAGATAAGCTGACCAGTAATACAATTCTAGATAAGCTGACCAGTAATACAATTCTAGATAAGCTGACCAGTAATACAATTCTAGATAAGCTGACAGCAAGTATTATCATTACTTCTAAAATAACAATACCAGAATAAGTTGAAAATAAATATAAATATTTTTTATTGTAATTATTGAGAGACTGGTTAAGGCGACCTGATGAGTGGGAGTCCCTCTCACTAGTGGGAGTCCCTCTCACTAGTGGGAGTCCCTCTCACTAGTGGGAGTCCCTCTCACTAGTGGGAGTCCCTCTCAATAGCGGTAGTCCCTCTAACTAGTGGGAGTCCCTCTCACTAGTGGGAGTCCCTCTCACTAGGGGTAGTCCTCTCACTAGTGGGAGTCCCTCTCACTAGTGGGAGTCCCTCTCACTAGTGGGAGTCCCTCTCACTAGTGGGAGTCCTCTAACTAGTGGGAGTCCTCTCACTAGTGGGAGTCCGTCTCACTAGTGGAGTCCTCTAACTAGTGGGAGTCCCTCTCACTAGTGGGAGTCCCTCTCACTAGTGGGAGTCCCTCTCACTAGTGGGAGTCCCTCTCACTAGTGGGAGTCCCTCTCACTAGTGGGAGTCCCTCTCACTCGCGGGAGCCCTCTCACTAGTGGGAGTCCCTCTCACTAGTGGGAGTCCTCTCACTAGCGGGAGTCCTCTCACTAGCGGGAGTCCCTCTCACTAGTGGGAGTCCCTCTCACTAG